TTGCTTTTCTGCCTGTGGTTTGAAACCCTGGGGACTGATTTTACAATTACTGCAGCAGGTCCAGAATGTTCTAACTTTTTCCCCATCACTGATTGAAGTGTCCCTGCTTGCTCGACAAAAGTGAAACGCCCGGGATCTTGTTGGCGATTTCTCCAGGCCTCTTGTTGGTGACCTTGGTCGGCTTCCTGTGCGTTGGCCGCCTTCAGTGGCAGAAGCTGAAAAAGTGGCCGGCTGTCGTTCCGGGCTGCAGTTGTTCCCTTCTTCTGTGGCTCCCACATTGGTATTCCTATTTTGAATGAGGATCCGAAGCCTTTCTAGCCTGAACAGATAATGAGAAAGAGAAGGTTTAGCAATGCCCTCTTGGACACGCTACCAGTAATCTGAACTATCTCAACCTTTCATGGGCCTCTTGTGCACTGAAGTTCATTAAAGAGCTTCTATTTCTCTTGGACAACAATTCTCCAATCTATCTTTTCTAATCTCTGCTCCAAACCACTGTTTCTTATCCAGCAGTTAATACGGTCAGAAACTGAGCTCATTCAGCATGCAAGCATTGGGGGTTTGATCCAATTGTTTTATTGAGGGGGTTTGATTCAATCATTATAAGAGCCATAGTGGTGAAGTTGTTAGAATGCAATGCTGAATGTCAGCAGTTCAATTCTCCGGCTCAAGGTTGACTCAGCCTTCCATCCTTCCGAGGTCATAAAGTGAAGATCCAGATTGTTGGGGGCAATATATTGACTCTGTAAATCGCTTAGAGAGGGCTGTGAAGTGGTATATACCATAAGTCTAGGTGCTACTGCTTGTCAACCCAAAATATTTCTCTGGGGTTTTTGGAGTTGCCAACAGAAAGGGAGGGGGGAGCAGTGCAGCAGCTTGCAAAACCGAAAGTGCATTCCGTAAATGTTTTCAAAGATAGTAACTAGGTGACCAAAGTTTCTGCTTGAAAAAATCTGACTGGAGAGCATGATTGATGACTCTTGGCTATGGATGTGCCCCATTGGAGAATATAAATTACGATACACCCAGGGGGTGGGGAAAAAAACAGGCCAAGGGTGATAATGAATTATGTGTCTCAGAGTCAGCTACACCCAGGCAATACCACACCATTAACTCCCAATAAATCCTTTTGAAGCTTTGGAAGTTTGTCTCAAGATTATGATTTAAATGGGGTTAAGTGCCGGAATCCTGACATTGCTATTATTTCAGATGAAATACAATTTCGTTTCATTTTGAGAACTTGCTTTGTTAGGATTTGTCTGTCCTTTTGGAATAGTCATTTATTAACGATACATGAGATGGATTGTTATGCTACAATTGTTATGGGAACTGTTGGAGTTATCGTGGTTGCCATTCTGTTGTTGTTGTCTTTTGTGATTGCTAGTGGCTTGTTCTTTATGGATCTTTTAACTTTATGTGTGACCCAGGTCTTGCTGTTGTGAGAGGGACAGACCTATAAATGGATTAAACAAGTAACTAGGTAAAATAAATACATGAGAACAGCTATTGTTAGTTCTGGACTAAAATGCCACCTCTCCACTTTCCAAATTTCATGCCTCATTGTCAATCAATCACTCAGGAAAAAAAAAGCTGCAATCTGTTTCGATATAATAAGTGGTGACATCTTTGTGTTCCTTCTCTTATGTTATATCTGGGCTGCCTATCTCAACATGGCTGCTAGGTGACTATGAAGAAATGCTAATTCTTTGCTGCCATCTAGAAGTTGGTTTTTGGCAACCCAGAGGGAACAACTCCCTTGTTTATGCAGAATCACCCAATTAATTTTATTTATGATCAGTAACATTTTTCCAGAGGCCGCAAGACTTTGTGGACTTTCCTGCAAGAAACCAACATCTGTAAGAGGGATGTACTTAACTATTCATGTCACTGTTGCAAGAAGAGGGAGGGAAAGAAGACTATTTGAAATTCATTTTGTTGATGTGTGCATTCTGGCAGAGGGCAGCCATTGTACAATACATTGTCAGTTCAGAGGACAGTCAGTTCTCAACGTTCAACCACAACTGAGCACAAAATTTCTGTTGCTAACTGGTTCATGGTTCTAAATTCTGATGGGAAAATTCAACCCTTTTTCTTCCATTTTTGTTTTATCACCGGCTTTGTACCTGATAACTTGTCAAGTGGAAGTCTCTCCGTTGTACAAGAGGATAGATGACTACACATACCATGACAGGGCCAGCTTTGCTGGCTGAGGAACTGTGTGAGTTGAAGTCCACAAGTCTTAAAGTTGCCAAGATTGGAGACCCCTGCCATGACACACACATAGAATATTAACATATTGTACTTACATTTCTGAATGTTAAGCTTTATTCTTCTTTCCCTTCAAGAAGTGGTCTAGGAGAAAGAAGTATTGCTCTTTGGTCCTAATACAAATCAGGAGAAAATTCACAGGCCAATAAAATCATCCACCAAGCAATGTAACACAAAAGCGCACTCACCCACAAACATACAAGAACATTCCAGGTGAGTATTAGATTCAGTGAATATTACCTCAAATGCCTTAGATTTGATATTTTTTCCTTTCTACTTTACCCCCGCCTCTCCCACAAATGAACTTTTCTAAATGGGAACAGGATTTTTTTGGGGTGGTGGTGGTGAGATTTTAAGGGCTAGTTGATGATTATGGCTTCTGTACGTTTCATAGAGCCTTTCACAGCTGTAGCACCTCTTTGCCATAGTAATATATTCTCTCCTCTAAATACAAACAGTTCTTTACCCAAAATAGAGCAAATATGAGTGCCGCCAGCAAAACAGGAAAGAAATGCAGCCGTCTCACAACTCACAAAAGGCTTCCAGTTAATAAATGAACCAGGAAAGGCAGATGTCACAATGGGAGACATGTCACCGTTGCCTTAGCAACCTGGGAATTATTCCTGTTCTTATAACCTTGGGATTTTTTTTTAAAGTTCATAAATATACTTTAGTTAATACAGTTGCTTTTTGAGTAAAGGGTGAATGAAGAGAAAAAGGGTCTTTCTTCCCCATTTATATCTTAATGGTATGAGGATACCTCAGTAAGTAATGTATCTGCTGGGCCCCCAATGTTGCTTTCATATTTCTTAACTTTGTTTATTTTCCTTCTCTTTTTAAATTGTTTCCACTTTTTCTTTCTTTCCTTTTGTCTTTTGTTCTGTGAAAAAAAATAAATGTAAATTAAAAAAATAATGTTTTTTGCTGGCCTGTGGCTGGGAGGAGGTATTGGAAAAGTGACTCAAATAATTTAGTCCCAAGTTTATTCCTATTCTTAGGATGATGCATTTCTCTCTGGATGTCCTCCAATCCTGAGTCTAAATTACTGTTCCTGAAACATTTAGTAGTTTTTGTTTTGTTTATTTGGCAGATGTTTGTGTAATTCATCAACATCTATTGATGAGTTTAAAGTCCACCTTCATCTACATCTGTTTTATTTTTATCCTTTATTAAAGTTTGGAAAGCTTCGATGGTGGCAAGATATAAACTTAATATATAAATAAGAATAGATTAGTCATTAAATTGCTTATTAGCCGCTACATAAGAAGCATGTAGAGTTCTTATGCTTTGGAAATTACAGACGTGCCTTTCAGAGGAAAACAGGGTGGGCTGAAGATTGTTTCATAAAAAGCAGAGTTGATGTACACAGAAGGAACCTTTTTCCATATGTGGTGGTCTTGTGCAGAAACCCAAAAGTATTGGAAGAAAATCAAAACTTGGTTGGAAGAAATCACCAAAGAGCAGATCGAATACAAACCAGAGTCCTTCCTACTAGGGATTTTTGATAAGCAAATTTCCAAAAAAACCAAATACATAACAATACACATTTTAACAGCGGCCAGATTAGCCTTTGCTCAACACTGGAAACAACATCAAATTCCATCAGAAGAGATGTACACAGCAAAAGATGAAGAGCCAGTGAATATTGACTTGGCTCTTTGACTCTCTGGACAAAGAGAAGATGGGAGTTGGCCCACAAATGCTCCAGATAGTTGCTTCTCGTGAGGAGAACACATGTTAGCAATCTCCAGCAGCTTTAGAGCTCTGAACTTGAGAGAATGGTCACCTTGCTCAAACCATTGTTATAATATCACTATTGTTTTTAACTTATTGTACAAATGAGTTCCATATTTCATTATACTAGTCCTTAGAAAATCTATGTCTAAAGGCAATATTATCATAGGTGGCAAGTGTAACAGGAATTTAACTTAATGAATAAATGGGGCCATGCAGGTAGACTTACAACTGATCACTTCAAAGTTATGTGGTAACTTGAAAAAGAGGACTTACAACTGAAATTCAAAGTACCAACAGTTGGGCCCTCTCTACAGTCACATGACCAAACTTCAGGTGCTCAGCAACATGGCTGCATTAACAGTCGTTAGCACATCCCACAATCATGGGCTGGGTTTTATGATGGTTTTGTTGAAAAGCGGCACTTCCAGTTTTTGGCAAAACCCACCCATAGAAAATCATTGGGTTGGTTATCAACTGTGGTGTTAACTTAATGGCCACAGCTTAACAAACTACAGTTCGCTTGACAGCTTTACATTCTCTTAACAAGCATAGCAAAAAAGATTATGAAATCATGTCAGTTACATGCATGATTTGTAATTGCCACAACAAAGGACCATAATGGGCTGGCTCCATTGAGGTCATGACTACCTGTAGATTTATCTTTGCAATGTTGCAAAATCAGCCTTTCAACCATAGTAAGAGCATAAAGAATCCATTTACATTCTTAGGTTCCATATACTAGGCATATAGTTCAAATTACTTATAGTTTTTCTTGTACAGTTATATTTATATAGTCCACTACTTTCTCCCAAAAGATGTGAAGTATAGAACATAATAAAATTATATGTTTTAAAGAAGCATTATCTTTATTATATTTCCAACAAAATGATGTCCTGGACACTGGGTTTTTTTGATATAAATGTAACAAGTCAAAATAATTCTAAGTATTATTTTTTGTGATGATGATGATGATGTTATCCATTCAGTCATGTCCTTTGTTATGCAGTATGCAAGCCTCCCATTCATTTATTATTATGTTAAAAATAACTAAATATCCAGCGGTGTATGGACCTCGGTATGCTGAAAGTTCTGCCCTAAGTAGAATTGTTTATCTCATGTTTTATTTCATTCCTTAGCTAGGTAATCTGCTCATTGTCTTTCTATCTTCACTGTCTGGTCTTGAGGACCTGAGCCTTGTGAAATAACCAGCTGGAGCACTGAAACACCGGAGTGCAAATGTCATTATAGGCATATGTAGCATGCCAATCCATCACCCCGAAACTGGATATTGCACTGAGATTTAAGGAACAAGGATCCTATGAGTTGGGAGACCATCTATTCTAGACCAACTATGGGGAATATCAGATGAAATATGGGGAATGGGTGTTTCTGAGGATTCCCAGGGAGGGATATTTTGCTTTAAAACATGAATACGTTGACTATTTGCTGGAAGGATTGTAGATGGAAAGGGGATAGGTGAACAAACATATCCTGACTGGACAATAGGAAGAAATAATGAAATGTGATTCCAAAGCAGCATCATTCAAGAACCGCATGCCTTCTAGCCCATACATGGTTTTCAGTTGCTCTCCTTATGCTGTTTTAACAGCCTATTCATACACAGAAGAGTACAGGAAAGACTAGAACTAAATATCTATAATGGCATCTGTTAGGGATACACCCTAGCAGAATCTGCACAGCAGTCAGGCAGGCAGGCAAAATATGTGAGATAAATGTTTTTGTAGCTTACACTCAGTAAAACAGATACACAGTGCTAATTAAACAGTTTATTCCGGTAAGAGTTATAGCATAGTCAAACAGTCCATATATCATTCACTAATTCAGTCCGTCCAGGGATTATTCAGTTGCAAATTCCAGTGTCGAAAAAAAGAGGTCAGTAACTTACAAATATCAGTCCAGTAATATATCTCCTCGCAGTAGAGATATGAAGAACTCAAAAACTCCTCTCTTCCTTCAGCAACTCAGCAGTAGGGGAAACACGTAGTTAACAAACCATCAATCCATGCAATTCAGTAATTGTCAGGTTCTCTTGCTCCCTCTTATGGTGGTTTCACACTGCACCCAAAATTACATGCTTTGCAGTTTTAAAGTGACACACGCTTAAACTTACAATCATAGTTTATATATATTATTTTACCCAAACTACGTTAGGTAACCTATGTTATTCCTAACAACATCATTAGTAACAAGGCTGTCTTTCATGTAGTCAGTCTGTCTGGTTGCTCCAGCTTGTTCTATAGAGCTGCTTCTGAAGTCGACAGTTGTTTTTGGTTGGCTAATCTCTCTGCTAAACCAGATTGTGCCCGTTGCTTGTAGGCGACAAAACTGCAAGGGAGAGAAAAGGAAGTAAGGGGAGGAAAGTTATTAACGTCGAAGGTTGAACGTCTCACCTACATTTTTGAGAACCCAATGTTTTATTTCCTTGAAGTTGGACAATCTTTTGGCAGCTGACCCAAGGCTACCTCAAGTAGTTTTGCTCCGGGAGAAGGAAAAAAAAACCAAACCCTTGCTTTCTCAAAGATACTTTTCCAGAAGCCAACTGGACTTTATTGGGTTTTTTTTCCCCTGAAAATGATTTGCGTCTTATCCAAAAGCTTCTTTTGCTCTTATCGTGGATGAGAAGCAAAACATTTTCAAGAAGAACAAAAAATCAAGGAAGTCCAGTTGCCATTTGGAAAAGCACCTCTGAGACAGTCATGACCGGGATGATTGAGAATCTCCACAGAGATGCTTTCTCAAAATAAACCTTTATTACCAGTATTGCAATAAAATGTCTGAGATACAAAACTCCGCAAGTAAAGCACAACCCACCAGAAACAAATACATCAAAAAAAAGGGGGAGCTAAAAACTTTCTGTGGACGTTCCTAAAGAAACTGAGTGCTTGTGCAAAGGATGGTCTGGTGGTTCCTCTGGCCAAACTCCAACCTGATTTCAGTGAGAGCATTTGCAGTATGGAGTCCACAATGACACAAACATTGCCATCTTCTTGAAGATATATGGAAATTTGGAGAGATGGCAATACTCAGGGTCCTCAGCTCTTAGGTAACACATTAATTTTGCTCAGCTCTTTTTCATCCGCAAGGGTTCTATAGTACATAATTTTAAAAAAGACTGGACAGCAGATTATGTGACCTTCCAAGAGGCATGGTTGTGGTTTCATCATAATGAATTACATTGATCCAAGGCCAGCCGCTTGTTTCAGGAATTCGAAAAAAAAAAATCTTTGCCTTTGACCTAGATTGTTGAACAAATCTTAGGAATCCAGGGACATACAGATAAGGAAAATCAGCTTTATCCTTAAAAAGTTCAGCTTGCCCTCAGTTTACTTTACCTGATAGGGATAAGACTTAGGCAACTGATGGCACATGACAGAAGAAAGCAGAAACCACTGAACCAGCCCAGGGTGTGTTGGTAAATTTTATTATAGGCTGTGGATGTCACAACTCCAGTGATCACCAGTGACAGTTGCAGAAGGACAAACACTTTTCCTAGGGGAAAAAAGAGACCAGATGTAAGATTGAATGAAAAAGAATGTAGGCATATTTCTAGCAGAATCCAGATCACTTACAATTTATGTAGCTAATCTGTTTGTTTTTAAAATGTAATTACAACGTAGTAACGGCTGGAGAGCACCTTTTAATTTCAATTTGTGAAAGGTTAAAGTGCACCTGCTGGATTGCTTCAAATATAGAGAAGTAAGTAAGTGGAATTCAACATTTACTGTATTGCATAAACGCCTTATATATGTCATTTCTGAACTTCTTGAACCAGTTTGAACGTTTGTCATTCTGTAAACAGGCTGTTGCTGTCAGCATGTAGTGGTTGCTTAATATAAATAGGACAAGCAACATCAGATTAGTGCTAGAAACTAATTCTGTAGCCAGTTATAATGTAGGCAATAATTATGTTGATTTCAGGAACTAATATTATGTAATGGAAGAGCCTATCAAGTAGAACTTCCTTTGAATTGGAACTTGGAACTATAACAGGTTTAGAATTTTGATATAGGATTAACGGGTGTATAGCACTATCTCAGAGAGTATTCTGCTCTCTTTTATGGCAGTTGGGAAGTTATTCCTTCCCAACTGTTACTGCTAGTAGGATGGGGAGAGGCAACGCTTGTCCAACCCTTGTTGTCCCCATTTCAACCCCCTGCCCTTAAAGCAGTGTTTTTCCTTGATTCTCAGATCTAGGTTGTGAAGTCAAAAAAGTGAGATAACCCTTTCTTCTAGGTTGGTTCAACCTAACTCAGTGAGTTTGAACAACTCCTAATTAATCTAAGATACTGTTGGCTTTATTTGGGAGATGATTTGGGTTTCTGGATTCATAGAAAATACCAGAGCTTTGAATGACCAACTAACTGTAGCCCAAATCCTAGTTGGTTGTATATTTCCATGGGTTATTCTTTTGGAAAAAGAAATGCTTTATTAGATTGGGCCATAATTCTCCAACGTCTTGCTTCCATCAGATGTAGGCAAATGAGATGCCTCTAGAAAGTCTAGACTGGTGGCAGCATATGATGACATCCCAACAGTCTGGCGGGATCTAAAATTGGTGCATGTATTAGAATTTTTGTGCTGGGCAGCCACAAACCATATTTTAACATTTCCCTTCAGTGGCCCATTGTGTCAAAGTTAAACTGAAAGCTTAAAGTTACGGCTGCTACTTTTCATAAGTCTCTATCCAAAAAAGTCCACAGAAAGCCTTTTTCTAAAGGTGCTTTCAAATCAGCCCTCCTTGTAAATCAGACAATGTGGAATCACCCATGACATTTTCTAAATTATGGAAGGAAAGGTATGTGCCTCCGACACCTGAAAGCTTTCGTCAAAGCCTAAGGCATTGATACTCATCGAATAGTCTTACAGGTAAGTGCAAGAATTTGGTTCTGACTCATCCAACTGGGATTACTATATTTTTCTGTGATACCAACTCAACTGATAGGAATAAACTCAAGTCAGCTTATTCTGAAAGTCAATGTTTTCCAAAGAAATAAATACAGAACTGTTTCTTACCGTAGGTTGAAGCTTCAACATGTTTGGATAACAAAGATCTGATGGTTGGCAGGGGAATGAGGGCAAAGAGCATCACAGAACGAGCTGTAACAGAGCAGAATGCAGAATGGTCAGGACAAAGGCCCAGCCTTTTTAAAGGAGATCAGAGTGTAGCTGTTTTAAAAAGCACAAATGGGAAGCCTCAGCTTCATGTTTTGGTGAGCAACTAAGGCCGTTTTCCTCAACTTTGTCTTGTTTGTTGGACAAACGATGAGGAGAGTTGCATTCTTAAGACAGAGAGAAATCAATTGGTCAGGGTAAGCCTGAGCATAGGGCTCTAAAAGCCAACCTCTCTGAAGTATATTATAATCTCCAGTTGTAATGCAGGCAAAGAGTAACAATTACAGCTATAATAACAACAGTTTAGCCTATTAAATGAGAAGTAATAGATGTTTTCCACTAGACAGTGCTCTATGAAATACCAAAGACAGTGCTTATATTCTGGGACAGGGCAGGGGTGGAATTCAAAAATCCCAGTAACCGGTTCACTGCCTAGTTGCTGGGTGTGAGCGTGGCCATGGTGGGTGTGGCCTACCGGAACTTCCGGGAAGGCCGTTTTTCGCCTTACCAAGGGTCCAGAGGCTTCATTTGGGCCTCTGGGAGGGCAAATATGGCCTCCCCCAGGCTTTGGAGCCCCCCCGGAAGCTGGAAACAGGCTCATTTCTGGACTTCTGGTACTTCTGGGAGGGCCACTTTTCACTTTCCCAAGGGTCTGGAGGATTCCCTCAGGTCTCTGGGAGGGCGAAAATGGCTTCCCTCGGGCTACAATTGTAAGTGTAAGAAATGGCCATAAGTCACTTTCTTCAGTGCCATTGTATTTTTGAATGGTCACTAAACTAATGGTTTTAAGTCGCCCATAGTACCCATAGTACTAGACTACCCATAGTATATTTTATTCTGTCCTCTGAAGCCCTTCCGATGTGCGCTCCCTGGAAATTATGAGAGTTAAAGAATCTGTTAATTTTGTCTTTTACCCCTTTCAGCTGCTTTGTGAATGGTGAGGTGATGCAGAATGTGGTCTTCAGGAAAGAATTTAGCTTTTTGAGAAATTTAATTTTCATCTGAGGAAAGAACAACTTTCTATTATCCCCCATTGTCACAAAAACGTGCTTGGAAGTGTGCAGACAGTGTGCGGTTAAAAAAGCCACTGAAAAGGCTAAGAGCATAGAGAAATGTCAATTATGAAAGATGAGGCTTCAGATGTCTATGACCTTTCCCACTCCTAAGGTTCAGGAGAAGTTAAATAAATTACACAGCATAGCACCCCATGCAATTGCATAATGCATTGTAAATATCAGAAGAATGGGTTTGATTGCTGCAGAATTTGATATTTGTGCATCTATAGAGCATCTGATTCAGTTAATGATCTACGTGGAAGTGCAATGGGAGTCACACCCGTGCAGCCTTATAGAACAGCAGTTCCTAAACTTTCCGGCTCTTGGGACCAGCCACGGAGAGTGGCAGTGGCAGAGTGGGGATAGTTTCGTGCGCGCAACTCAATTATGCATATGGAGTTTTGTGCGCTCACACACTACTTGCACGGCCCAGTTTCCAACAGGTCACGGACCGGTAGTAGTCCATGGACTGGGGATTGGAGACCTATTCAAAAGCAAAGTGTATTGGGTTTACTTCCACATAAATTAGAATAAGTTTACAGCTTAAATTGACTAAAGGTCAGTACAAAAGAAGAGTCATAAATCTTTCATGAAATTAAACAAAAATATGTCGCTTGAATTAATGCGAGGTGCACGGAAAGGCTCTGACTCACCAATGTAAAACAGGAATGTCCATCGCACAAAGGCCATAATAAAGATGCCAGCTGAGAAGGACACCATCCCAATCATGATCATGGTGGTGTCTCTTAGAAACTTGGAAAACACAAAGACGCCCAGGAAGCTGGTAATAAAGATCACATAGCCAGCAGCATTGGCATAGCCAACATACTCTGGTCCCCAGCTCAGTGGTTTCTTTAGGAAGAAGAGTGGCAGCACATTCATTGATCCAACCACGGCCAAGTCATATAGGATGGCCCCCACAAAGAGCAGGACAATAATGGACTTGGCAGGTCCCAGATGGGAGGAACTCTCAGAACTACAGAACAGTAAAGTCTCCTCATTAGCCAAATTGCTGTCAGGTTGGACCGCATGGGTGGAAGTGGCTGGGTCGCAAACTCCAGGCTTGGGGACTCGGAGGACAAACAGACTGTAAATGACACACAAGGCATATAAGGCAACACTACAGGAAATCAGCACTATACCGTGCTGATAACCGAGATGGAAAGTAACGAAGAGGTGTCCCGAAGCAATGCTTCCCACAAAACCAGCAATGCCATAGATGAGCTCAATGTGGATGAGACGCAGGGATCTTCTGCTCTCCGATGAGCCCTGGGAGACCAGGGCCATGATGCTGGCCCAATACGTGGTGAATCCTCCAGTCAAGCCGTGCAAGACAGCAGCCCCGTACATCACCTCAATTGGCCAAGCCAACAAGACCAAAAGGAGTAGAAGGCAACGGGAGAGCAAGTAGCCAGACAAAGGCACGCAAATGCTGATCTTCCGATTTACCCGGTCACCCAACCAGGCCAAGCCATAAGCTGATAACAGTGGGGTTAACCCATCAACAAGATGGTAGACGATGTAAAAGTCAGAGATGGCTTTTTGCTGAGTCTCCTCGCTGGAATGCGCCGAAGAAGAATTGGTCTGGTTGTAGTAGTTCTTCACCACCAGCAACAGTCCTGTGTCGTAGAAAGCACTGGCAAGCTGAGCGCCAGCAACAAGAGGTTCAATCCAGGCCTTCATTATATCAACAGTTGTGGTTCCCAGAGGACAGTGGCTTGATTTTTCTGAGGAAAAGGAGAGAAGAAGGCCGGGAGCCAACCCAGTCCTTCTAACCTGAACATAAAAGCTTGCTTACAACATTGAAAGCAAAAGCAAAGGAGGGATTTCCTCTCTCTGCCTCCTCAAACAGGTTTGTTTGTTTCTTCTTCCCTCCCTCTTTCTGGCAAGCTCCGATTGTCTCAGCAGGCACTGGGACATTGCAGCGAGCCCCAGTGAGCTGATTCTTCCGTGTACCTTCAAAAAATCACATGATCCAAGTTGAGAAATTTCTCAAACCTGATTTTAGGAAGTGAAAGAAGTTTGGCCCAGTGTGCTTGAGTGACCCAAAATATTACGTTAGAATGAGTGTTTTGTTGGTGTGCTCATGTGGGTGTGTAAGTCTACAAATGCTCTCTCTCCCCTCCCCACAGCTAATAAAAGCTCAGCCTTCTATTCAGAGTGTCGGCAAGAGACAATTCTGCAAGTTTGATGTTGCTATCCTTTTCAATCTTTTTCTTGACAAACTTATCTGAGGAAGAAGGGAGGTGTAATAAGCTGAACTCCAGGGTGTTGGTAAGAGTTGTGGAAGGCATGTGAAGCAGTATGTGAATTTGACAGTGTGTATGGTTAAAAAAAGACAATTTACTTATTTAGTCTCTCTCTTCCTCCCTCCCTCCCTCCCATCCATCCATCCATCCATCCATCCATCCATCCATCCATCTATCATCTACCATCTATCTATTATCTATCATCTCTCTCTGTCTCTCTACTATCCATCCATCCATCCATCCATCCATCCATCCATC